GGAAACAAGACTTCAAGACCACGGCCACACAGCCCGGAAGACCCACACCAGCCATCAAATGGTCCAATGTTAATCTCAGGATATGGGGGCAGGGCATATGATTAGGGTTACCAGATAACTGAACAAGCAAAGGAAGACATGGGCAATTGGAAAGGAGGACAAATGGGGGGGGGGAGTCGGACACATTGTTTAATTTTCTTGGCATCCGCAACAAAAATTACAGTGAAAAATTGCAAAAAAATAGTATTTAGGCCTACATGTATATGAAATTACTTTTTCTAGCATCCAAAGACTGGTTTTGCAGTCGCATTATTTTTCCAACAAATCTGTATTTTCAAGAACATATGCTAGCAATAATATAGAATCAGCAACGACACACTTTTCAAATTTCACCACAGAAATGTATGACAAGTCATATGATCTACACACTACAGTGATCATAAACTTGAAGGGGCTGGATTGAAGCCAACTGCTGGAATCAGGAAATAAATAATGTAAATCTATGTTGTTGAAAGTTTGAATGACTCTTGTTATAGAAACAGTCTTTTTTTTAAAAAAAACTCAAGACACTCAAAAAACTGGACAGTATTTGATTTTAAGGCTATGCCTGTTGGATGGAAGACATGAGCACAAAAAGAAGGACATCTCCTCCTTTTGCCAAGCATCTGGTGACCCTTCATTTGATTCAGAAATTGTCCATTCCTGTCATACTATCTGAATATCATTTTCTATCTCAGATATTGGCCATTCGTGGCATGTTCAAATATGATATGATTGTATTAAGCTCTGCCTGCTTCATTTTAAGAGAGCCTCTTTAAAGAAACTAATTTACAAAAAGAAATAAATTACTCTTTTTTCTGAAATTTTTGTCTTAAGTCTACTCTTAAATGTACACTTCTAACAATATTACAATAGGAGACAAATACAGTTCTACCACCCAAAAAGGAACAAAACTGACTGTACTGGGCTAAAATGAAAGTAAAGGCCTTTTACTTTTTTTTTCTTTACCTTAGAAAAACAGGAGTCTCTTTTAAAATCAGTGTAGTCATTCATTACTTATTTCAAAATATTTGTACAGGTAGTCCTCAACTTACGACGGCAATTGGGACCGGAATTTCTGTCACTAAGCAATGCAGTCATAAAGCGAGATGTCATGTGACCACATCACTTAGCGACTGCAATCCTGGCACTCCCAGTTGCCATCGTTAACCAAGAATCACGGGTTATTAAGCAAAGAGAGTCCCAGGTAAGGACCGCGGGGGTGCTGCAGGGGGGTGGAGGAGGCCCTGGGAGGCCCAGTAAAGGCCGCACATGAGATGGGGGGGTGCTGCAGTGCAGCGCAAAGCCGCAGCCACTCCTGGAAGCCTCAGCCACCCCACCTATGACTGCAGGGGCAGTGCAACTCTCTACCCCTATCTTCCCCCCCCCCCATCTATGCCCTTTTGGCTGCCCTACACAGTGGCATTTGTCAGCAGCAGCACCGGGGCTGGGGCTGGAGTAGAGGCCCAGGGCCTTCAGCAGTCTCAACTAGCTGCCACTGCCCTCAGGCCTCTACTTCAGCCCCAGCACCACCGCTGCCACTGAGAAATGCCACCTCAAGCCCCACACCGTGGCCAGCCACCGCAGCACCACTGCACAAAACCCCAGTTGCCCCTGCTGCCCTGTGCTCCACAGGTTCTGCCACACCCAGCTTGCCACTTGCACTATTCCTTCTCCAAATCGCATGGCCCATTCCTTCTCCAATTTGTGTGCCCCATTCCTTCTCCATGCGCCCCATTCTTGCGATCCTTCAGAAACCTTCTGGTCTTCCCCAGGTCTCGCAAGAATGGGTGTGCTATTTGGGAAAGGCAGGAGCTCCGTTCTTGCTGTGCTTTGAAAGACCTCATTCTCCAAATAGTGTACCCCATTCTTTCTCCAAATAGCATGCCTGTTCTTGTGAGCACTGGGGAAGACCAGGTTTCCAAAGGATCATGAGAATGGGGCATGCAATTTGGAGAAGAAATGGTGCAGGCAGCTTGGAAAACAGCATGAGCGGCCTCAGGAAGAAGGCTTGGCATGGCCAGCAGCTGCCTTGCATACAGTAGGGTCAGGTCAGGTGCGCCTTGTCAGCAGTGGGAGGAAAATGGTGAAGGTCAGCTGGGCACGGCAGAGCCTGTCAAGTGCAGGGAAGCAGGGGCAACTGGGGCTTTGTGCAATGGTGCTGGGCTTGAGGCAGCATTCAGTGGTAGCACTGGGGATAAAGTAGAGGCCTGGGGGCAGTGGCAACTAGCTGAGACTGTTGAAGACCCTGGGCCTGCACTTCAGCCCCAGCCCTGATGCTGCTGCAGACGAGTGCCACTGAACAGGGCAGCCAAAGGGGCATAGATTGGGGAGGATATAGGCGGGTGGGAGGAGTTGCAGCGCCCCTGTGGTCATAAGTGTGGGTGGGCTGTCAAGTGCTCGAATTTTGATCATGTGACTGCAGGAGCACTGCAATGGCCGTAACTTCGGGCATAAATCATAAGTCCATTTTTTCAGCACCACTGTAATTTTGAGCAGTCACTGAACGAATGGCCATAAGTCAAAAACTACCTGTATTCTATCCTTCACTAAAATATTTGCATACCACCATTCTACTCCACTAACAGCAATTGTAAACATAAAATTATTTTATGGCAATACATTAAAATATATAATCAATTCATATAATGGTTTAAATCATATATAATTTAACCATATTATCATTTAAAGTCAAAGTAATCTTTATTGTCAAAATCAATAACATGAGGAAACAATTAAAAATACAGAGTAGCCCAGGGTATCTCTCAAATTTAAATGCCTAGGAAAAAAAATACCCTACTGCAAAATCTTGGATGACCTATTCCATTGCCTTCATATGCTGAAAACACTGAAAAGCATGGAGGATAAGATATCCAAAATACCATGGGATCAAACAGAAACTCCTTGGTGCCACTTTCTAGAACCAACTCTGCAGAGAGTAGCAGAATCATTATATCCACATGCTCTTTATACCTATTTTAGAACCTCTTCAGCAAGTTACCAGAATCAATTATATCACATGCTGTAGGAGATCACAGAGAATCAATAGGATTTTACTCTCTGATTTCTTTTCCTCTCACTGGAGATGTCATCCGTTCAGGCCTTCTGTAATACTTTGGCCAAAATGGAACAATTAAAATTGGGGAAGAGTTAATAGATTATTCTGAATCTGAAAAGGGTTATCTAATGTAGTCTGCTACCTATCATCTCTTTCACTAATTTGATTTCTATCTTGCAACTAGGGATACAAATACAGAGGACTCTTTATATAAATAAACAAGGCAAAAGGAAACCAATGCTTTAAAATGGCTGCAAATGTATTTGTAATAAATACATTCTGTCTTGATTAAACTGAATTCATGAAAGAACCCAAACATAACACATCCCTAACAAGCAAATTCCTCAGTTCATTATTTTCCACATAGGAGAAACTGAAGTATGCACCAACACATAAGAGGTCAGCTTTTTGTTGATGAATGCTAGGAATTGCATTCCAACCCATACTGACACTAAGACATTAGAAGAATTTTTCCAGAAACTGAATCATAATCTGAAAACATGAAGTCAGACCCAGTCAGAAGAACTGAGAAAAGCTGGGGGGAAAGCAACAGAATAGTCTGCAGATAGTCCTCAGTTACTAATACTGTGTTAAATGAAGCACTCAATTTGAGATTGGGAAAGAGATTGTTAAATATTGAGCCAGTAGCTAGGAGTTTGCCTATTTAAAATAGAATGAGAAGGTACAGTGGTCATAGGATTCCATAAGAGAAGGAATAAGAGTAACTCATCTATATAGGAGTCAGGCAATTGATACATGCTGCAACATCCCTAACTAGATTTCTCAGCCCTCAAATATGCCTATAAAACCCACCCCCACTTCAGAATGATAGGAAGTTGCCTCCAAGGCTTGAGCAGGATACATTTTTCAGGAAAGACTACTGCTATTTCACAGGGCAAAGGCTATGGTCTTGACATATTTGGCTGGGTTTGTGGGTGAGGATCTTATAGATGACAAATGTAACATGGTATATCAATTTCTGCAACTATTGTTATCTAGGTGCCATAGAAAATAATTTCAAAGTAAATATGGGCAGGGCAGGGCAGGGCAGGGCAGGGCAGAGAGGGAGGGAGGGAAGGAGGGAAGAAAATGTTTTAATTTTGTTTGCTTACGTCTTCTAAAGAAGATATTTGTTTACTTGAGGTGCCTTCTTCAGGTTCTAAATTCTCATTTGTTTTATCAGTTGATGCATCTGTGGTTTCTATTACAGCTCCTCCAGAGCACATGGGACCCTTTTTGCAATGGGGACAAAAAAATACAACATTGCTTGGTTGAAATGATGCAGAGCACTCGATGCATTTTACATTCTTCTCTTCTTTACTGAGATCAGCCATTTGTTTGGTTGTATGGATCCTGCTGTGCAAATTAAATAGTAGCACAAAGATTGGTACCTCTCTATGCACTGTAGAAGGAAGCAGAACAAGAAAGTGAGAAAAGGAATTTTTCTGGTGGCATAAAATATGTAGTGACTGGCAAGCAACAACAATATTGTAATATAGACAGACCCTTGATATGTATAGCTAACTTAGAGAAGCAAAGGTGAAAAATGCCATTGTCAAAATATTCATTCACAAAGCAAGCTACAACAAAGAATTATGGAAATTTTCCCATGTATTAAAAATATAATCAACAAAAATGGGCCTGTAAAACAATTCCTGTAAAATAAGAATGTTGTATCATCAGTACCACCTCCTTGCAACTATAGTAAGAGGGTACAAAGTAGATGACAAATTCAACAAAAGAACATGTTGAAGGGAAAATAATTGCTGATTTTGATATATTCAATTTACAAAACAGAAAGAATAGCACTGTGTTTTTATAATCTACTATTATTTTATTTTTCAATTTATATAACCACCCATTTCACCATCCAAATCTGGGTGGCTATAAAAAGAATACAACAAGCATGATAAAACCACAATAAACAACCAAGGTGACATAGAAATCTACATCAGACAGCGACTTCATGGGCTACCAAATAGCCATCTGGTCCTTATGCCTAGGAACACGTCCAGGTCTTCAAGGCTTTTAAAAAAGCTGGCAGGGCCAGGTCCAATCTAATCTCAGGGGATAATGGTGTTCCAAAGGGCAGGTGCTGAGACAGAAAAGGCATGCCTTCTGAATCCAGCAAGATGACATTGTTTAACCAATGGGACCCACAACATGCCTCTCCCACCAGACCAAATGGGACAAGTAGAAACAATTGAGGAGAGGCTGTCCCACAAACATCCCAGACCCATGTCATGAAAGGCTTTATAGGTGACCCTCAGCACCTTGAATTGCACCCTGAAGCACACTGGAAGCCAGTGCAGCTCAAAGAGCAGAGATGTAACATAAGTGCACTAAGGTGTACCTCTAACTGCTCACACTGTTGCATTCTGAACCAGCTGCAGCTTCTGGGTACTCTTCAAGGTCAGCCACATGTATAGCACATTGCAGTCATCCACTCAAGAGGTGACCAAGTGATGAGTGACCATAAGCAATGTGTCCTGGTCCAGGAAAGGGCACTATCGGTGAACAAAATGAAGTTGTGCAAAAGCTCTCCTGGCCATGGCTGCCACCTGCTCCTCAAGCAGGAACCGTGGGTCCAGGAAGACCTTCAAATTGCACACCAGTTTGGGGTAGTGCAAACCCATCCAAAACTAAAGATGGAAAAACTCCAGATCCTAAAATCCAAAGCCACTCAGTCTTGCTAGGGTTGAGGTGCAGCCTGTTCTTCCCTGTCCAGACCCCCATAGCCTCCAGATATTGACAAAACTTCTAGAGCATTACTTGGTTGGCCCAGGGTGGAGAGTTAGAGCTGGGTACTATCAGCATACTGATGATACCTCACCCCATGTGTTGAATGATATTACACAGCAGCTTCATGTAGTTGGTAAAGAGAGAGTATTGAGCCATGGGCTAGATTTCTCTCCCCCATCAACACTGACTGAAACTAGCCCCAGAAGAAGGAGAACCAATGCAACACTGTATATCCTCCATTCCCAACTCCGAAACCACCTCAGAAGGATGTCATTATTATAGTATCGAAGGCTGCTGAGAGATCAAGAAAAGCTAGGATAGACACACCACCCCCATCCTAACCCCGGCAGAGGTGATCCACAAGCACAGTCAATTCCATTTTGATCCCATACCTAGGTCTGAAACTTGACTGAAAGGAGTTGGAGACAGGACCAAAATTATCCAACATGATCAGGTCCAGCTATCGTTTATTGAAGAGGAGGTAAACCATCCCTCCTTGAGCATTGGCAGAACACCCCCTCTCTCAAGGAAGAATTCGCCACTGCCATGACCCAACCACATAGCCTTAGCTGACCAAGAGAGTCGTGGATGTAGATGGCTGAGTTTACAGTTCTAGGAACCCTGCCCACTGAATCAGGACTAGCAGGATCAACCTCATCCCAGATAACCAAGCCAGACTGAGCTTGATGGGACTTCCATCAAGACCAGAGCCCAACTTGGAGCAACTTTATCTGACAGGTACCTAGCATATTCATCACAGTAAGCCTATGGGCTTCCATCAAGGCCAGAGCCCAACTTGGAGCAACTTTATCTGACAGGTACCTAGCATATTCATCACAGTAAGCCTATGGGCTTCCATCAAGGCCAGAGCCCAACTTGGAGCAACTTTATCTGACAGGTACCTAGCATATTCATCACAGTAAG